AAAAAAAAAAAAAAAAAAATTTCCCAGCTTTACACGTATTTACACATGTCTGCAATTTTTATTGTATGTGTTGGTTCATACATACACACATCACCACACTCAAGATTCAGAACACTAAGATCTTTTGTGTTGTTTTTAATCTCTGATTTCCATATGTTAGTTTTCACAAAATTTATGGTGCTCCTCTCTATTATATCAGATAACCCTGAATCTAAAGCCTCTCCAGTGTGCATCTTGAGAGAAAAGCTCCAGTCTTAGGAAGCCAGGGTGTAGTGTACATAAGAGAGGGTAAAAGGCACATTCCTAACTGCACAGGTAGTAGAGAAGATCCCAGGAAGTTTAACTGCTCAAATATAGACTTTCTACCAAGCCCTTTCAAAGCCATTTCTGACTTCTGATTTCAGGTGTACCCTAGTACTATTTTTCTAGGATGTGAAGGAACAAATCAACTTGGTTTATCTTAGTATCCTGTAGAAGAAAGCTGCAACTCTGTTCTACTAAGTCACTTACTCTAATTCAGCGGTTCTCAACCTGTGGGCTGATACCCACAGGAACTGTATTAAAGGGCTGTGGCATTAGGCAGGTTGAGAACCACTGCTCTAATTCATTCCCTTTCTAACTTTGAAAAATCTGTTGATATCTCTTGCCAACTTTTGAATTTTCTCCTACTCTGTTTATCTGAAAGTTTTAAATTGGAGCTCCTGTTTTTTCCTCCCAAACCTGCTTTCCACTTGAGCTGTCTTTTCTTCCCAAAATTAAAACATGGACGTTACTATGATAAGAATTGCTGAAAACCTTTCAATATTGTCAACAGGCACTTTGGGCCACAATTCCTTTTGAGATCTTTTTTGATTGCCTAACAAAAAACAGAGAGATAACTATACTGCTTAAATCTCTGCCATTTATATTGACCATCCCTCATAGTAAACTTTTTTCTTACTTGTTCTCCAAGTTGTTGGAATCTGCACTGTGCAAAGATCATCAGCAGATTCATCTGCTGAACTGCCAATGAAGTCAAAGTTAAGGCAGTTAAGGACCAGTTTTAAGACTTGCATTACCAGGTTTTGTTGGTATTCATCCTGAAGATTTAAAGGTTTGGCCAACACCTGAAAAAAGTTCAAAAGCAAATAAGACACTATGAAATACATCAATAAATTTTCACTTTATGAATTAAAATAATGCAAAATGAAAATCAGAAAACGAAGTTTAACTGTAAAAAGTTATATTGTTATACTGTTCCATATTAATTGCTATCCACAAATTTCAATAATAAACTAGTTACAAATTTAATTTTGTAAAATGGGAATAAAAACTTTTATACTTAAACACATATTCTGAGTTACCTTCTAAAGTTACAAGAGATAGTTTGGATAAATACATAACACAACTATTTAAATGCCAAGATTCATTAACTCAAAGGCACCACGCTGAAAAATACAACTTTCTTCAAAGAAAACTGGATTAACTTCATACATAAAAGAATCACATTTGGTTAATAAAGGCTGTCAGAACTATATGAATGTGGAAAGACACTCAAAAGTTTCTGGAGAACAATCCTGACCTCCAAATAATGACCATCCTGACACAACCAAAAAAGATTACACGCTTTAGAGATATATAATGAAATATTTGCAAAGTAAAAGATGTGAAGTTTGAGATTTTGCTTCAAGAATAATAAAAAAAGATTCAAAGTAGGCAGGTAGGTATAGCGAGAAAACGAGATTAGCTATGAGTTTTTAACTTGTTGACAGGTTCAAGGAGGTCATTATAATATTGTCTACTTTTGCATGTGTTGAAATGTTTCATATTAAAAGAAAATTTTAAGATTATAGAGGGTCTTTTGGTCTGATACAGTGTGGCAGTTATCATTTTACTATACCACAGAAATAACTGAAAACTAGTGCTCATTGGAACATATTTTCAGAAACAGTATATTACACCCTTAACCAGCTTAAGCTCCACATTAGAGTACATATTTACATAAGAAAACACAATATAATTATTAATCACACTATCACTAAGGTTCAATAGAACACTATGTAGCAAACAGGGAGATACTACTACCCAATGAAATTATTAAAGTCAACGATCTTGTCTAAACTATGAATAAATTTTTATAGTTGATGAATTAGGAAAACTTACTGTCATTTCATTTTTCATCTATACCCTATGAAAATACTGGCAGGTAAAGAAACTAATACTCAATTAGCTTCAGTAATAAAGAATCTACAGTAGGGAAACAATAAACTACTAATAAAAGACAAGTCAATAAGTTGCTTTTAAATTTTATCTTATCACAAGCCCAGTAAATAAAAATAAATTTTTTGGAACCTCTTACAGATTTGTAAAAATTTATTGTATAAGTGGTCCCCAGGTTACACACAGATACATTCCTAAGAATGTCTTTAGATCTAATTTGTATGTAACTCAGATCCCTGACAAACAGCACATTTATTGTAACAATAATAGCTCGTATGTGGTAAAAATAATACAGTGTAATAATAAGAATAATAATCCCCCTGTACTGCAACAGTTAGCTATAGAAACTACTGTGCTATTTCTTTTAATTCGAACAGAACATAAAAACAAACTCATACAAAAAGTTTACGTAGAATAGGAGAAATTTTAAAAAAGAAAATTAAAGGTTAACACTCACGTAATATTGCATCAACGCTATGTTAACAGGAATGTTACACCTATTCTGACCTAACAAAATCAATAATAACCTTTCCATTTCAATAATTAATACACTACACTGCTTAAGTAATAATGGATGCTTTCACTAGAGCACTGCTTTTCACATGTTCCATTATTCTGACTTTATCCTTTATAATTGTTCTAACAGTCAACTAAAGCCTAATGCCTTTCCAATGAATGATGATGTCTGTCCTTTCTCTGAACACTATCTTATTTCTATTTTCACTTCCATTGTAATTACCTTTCTCTTCAATGCAAGCTCACCTGGAGTTGCACTAGACTTTCACTTATGGCCATGAAGGCATGGTCACAAGGCAAATACAAACTCAAAAAATAAAATTTAAAAATTAAGATAAACTCCCTGCTCTCTGCTCTCTTCTCCCTTTCTCACCTCTTCCCTCCACCCCTACTCTCTTTCCTTTCTCTAATATAAAATAAACTCTTATTTCCTGAAAATATTTAAGAATATATTTTCCTTTCTCTAATATAAAATAAACAGCTAATATTGCTAAATATTTATTCCTTTCTCCAATATAAAATAAACTCTTATTTCCTAAAAATATTTTCCTGAAAGTGAAGCAGTACATCAGGGGCTATCCGTGAAGGACTATGTAAACAATGAGACTAGCCGCTGGCATAAAGGTGCTGTGCCAACAAACCACTTAAGCCACGTAGGTTTGTTTATATGTGTGGAAGAAACTAGTTCCTCAATTATTAATTTAATTATAAATTATCCTTATGAGGAGCCTTGGGAGCCCACTGGTAACCATGAATGCCATAAATCAGGTCATCATAACCTGGGGACTGCCTGTGGACAAAATTAAATTTGTCCACAATAATGCTTCAAAAAGCAGAATGAAGGTGGAAATCCACTTGGAATTCTTTTAAACCTCTATAAACTTCCAAATACATTAACCAGGAAATTGAATTATTAAATAACTTACCTCTTTCAAAAGAGAGCATGCCAGCACTAAAATGTCTTTGAGTGAAGTGTCACGAAATGAGGTAGCTATTTTCCTGTGTTTTGCTGAAGGTCTAGAATAATCAACCTGAAAGATAAAGATGAAATTAATTTAACCAGATGTACCAAAAACCCAAGCAACATTGTACTAAGTAAGAAAAAGAAAAAAAATAATAATTAAAGAATCGTAAAGTACAGAGCTAAAGAGCTTCTAAAAATCTACAGGATAAGTGACCTGCCTAGGTTTATGTAAAGAATAAATAGCAGAGTCAGGCTTAAAACCCAAGTTTCTGGGCTGTTTCCATTTAGTGCTCTTCCAACAAACCATATTGATACCAAAACAGTTAATCACACTTTCAGAGGCAGTATAAAAAATAGTAGTAGATAGGGTGGCACCTGTGGCTAAAAGGAGTAGGGCGCTGGCCCCATATGCCATAGTGGCAGGTTCAAACCCAGCCCCGGCCAAAAACTGTAAAAACTGCAAAAAATAAATAAATAAATGAATAAATAAATAATAGTAGTAGATACATACGTACTAAGACTATCAATTGATGAACTATGCACTATGTATCACAATACGAAAGAAACGACTTTCCTGTTCCTCAGATTCTACCCATAAAAAGACACATCTCTAAGGCAATTTTCAAACTCTTTCTGTGAATCAGCAAACTGAATTAGTTACAGAAAAATTCTTCCATAAGAAACTGATAGTTCTGTACATGTATATATACCACATGCCATTGGTTCATATATCCTTGCCATTTTAAAAAGAAACCAAGGCAGGAATTATAAATAATCATAAATCTCATTTATTATATAAGTTCTAGTGTATTCCCTCTGAATATTTTATAACAAATCACAAATAAACTTTAAGAAGAAATGAACTAAGATTAGCTCTTGAGTTTCTCTATGTTGAGAACTATACCATTAATATTTTCATTTATCAATAGAAAACAAGCAAAAAAAGCTGAAGTCTGATATTTAACAATGAACACTATGGTCTACAATTACCATACAGAGGGTGATCAAAAAAATATATACACATTTTAAGAAAGGAAAAAAACTATTAAAACTGGAATACTCAATATACACTAATAAAGTTTGTTATCTTGTATATTGTATCCCTTGTAATTGCAGAAGTCAAACATGACTCAAGTATTATAATTTTAATACAGTTTTTCCTTTCTTAAAATGTATATATATTTTTTGGCACCTTCTGTAGTATTACTGTTTATTCCTAGTGCTTCTTGGAAGAAGAAAATAAATTATTTTCCTTACTAACATTTGTAGATTTTTTTAAATAAAAAGTAGTGAACTCAATATTATCTGACACTTCCTAAGTTCCAATACACAATTTAGACTATACCTAAATGTGACATTTACTTATAAAACATGAAACATCAGTGTAAAGTGGTTACGCAAAGTTGTTACTAAAATCTATCTATATCCAACATGTAAGACTAGAATGATCACTTTCAGTGTTACTCCCTTAAATTACAAACTTTATAAACTTTAAAAGTCTGCCTTTCCCACATTTTCCTCAATAAATAAAAATAGTTTCTCCTTAATACAAATTAGTAAGAGCATACAGTATTACAATTCCAACTTACAAAATGCTCTTCACATTATTTCACTTAACCCTCAGAACTTATCTGTGAAATGTGTATTATCCTTTTTAAAACACATGAGAAATTTAGTTTATAGGCACTCTTAACACCAACCTCTCATTACCACCTTATCCATGATATAGAAAGAAGAAACTTTAGTGCCTTCTATATACTAAGTTCTGTGCTAATAGTTTATCTCATCTTAAAAAGATCCACACACGTAGGTATCATTATCATTTTATAGATAACACTATACAAGCTTTAAAGAAGTTAAGGAGTTTGTTCAAAGTAGTCAACGACAGACCTAAATATAAATCCCAACGATAGACCTAAAATACAAATAAGATGTCTTAATTCAGAGTTACCTTTGAGGCCCACGTGCTTATTTGATTTGGATTACTCATTTAAATATCCACTGTTTTGAGAAAATAAGATTGCACATCCACTTTCTATTGCATATCTGTGTCTCTACCATGGAGACAAAGGGTATTTTGCTTCTTTTTTTTTTTTTTGAGACAGATCTCACTCGGCTGCCCTGGGGTTGAGTGTCATGGTGTCATCACAGCACACAGCAACCTCAAACAATCTCTTGCCTCAGCCTCCCAAATAGCTGGGGCTACAGGCACCCACCACAACACCTGGCTAGTTTTCTATTTTCAGTAGAAACTGCGGACAGGGTTTTACTCTTCCTCAGGATGGTCTCCAACTCCTGAGCTTAAGCAATCTACCTGCCTCACCTCCCAGAGTGCTAGGATTATAGGCCTAAGCCCCAGTGCCCATCCAGGTATTTTAGTTCTTGATGATTATATATTGAATATACTATAGAAAACAGTAGACTTGGCTTCCAAAAAGCAGGATAACCTATAAGGTCCTATTAAGTTGCAGGAAAAATCAAATTTGTATCTTTTTCTTATAAGATACATCCTATTACAGTGACACTAAGTGAATATAGCTGGCTTACATCTAACAACTCTAATATTAATTTAATATTCCCCTACTATCTGGTTTAGAAATGCTTAATAAATGCTAGTTAAAAATTAGCCTGGGTAAAATGTCTCCACAGAAGGTCTATATTTTTCACCATATAAAGTCAAAAATCATTAGAACTTTGAGCTTTTCTTAACATGTACTTGATTCTCTGAAAGATAAATCTGAAACATCCTGTGCCAAACCGTAAGAAAGTATCCAAAAAATTGTAAAGAAATGTTAAATAGACATAAAAGCCTACCTGAAAGTAGGCTCAAAGTAAATAAAGTTAGTAATGAATTATAAAATATTAAATAAAATAGAAAACCAGTGACCCACACTAATATAAAAAAATAAATAAGGCCAGGCACAGTGGCTCATGCCTATAACCCTAATACTCGGGGATGCCAAGGCAGAAGGGTTGCTTGAGGTCAGGAGTTCAAGACCAGACTGCACAAGAGCAAGACCCTAAATATACTAAAAATTAGCAGGGTTGGTGGCACATGCTTATAGTCCCAGCTACATGGGAGGCTGGGGCAGAAGGACTACTTGAACTCAGGAATGTTAGGTTGCAGTGAGTTAGGTTGATGCCACTCTACTCTAGTCTGGGAAACACAGTGAGAGCATGTCTCAATTAATCAATCAATCAATAAGTAAATAAATAAATAAATTTGAAAGCAATGACGAACAAGGTATTTTCAGCATCTTAAAGTACCTCCCCACAAAATATTTATTAATTACAAAGGGAAAAAGAATACATCTACTAGAGACTAGTAGAGATTATCTTGAGTAAGAGACCAAAGTGAACATCATCAGTAATATGACAAATCAAATCATGTGCTTAGTAACAAGAAGCCACAGTATCATTTCTGAGATATTCCCGACAAATATGCATAATCTGAATCCAATGAGGAAATCGCAAAATGTGGGATATTTTACAAAACAACTGGCCTATAATCTTCACAGGTATCAAAGTTGAAAGTGAAAAACATTCAGGAATTTTCCAGATTGAAGGAGACTAATAAAACATGAGAACTAAATGTGATGCACAATTCTAAACCAGCCCTTTTGCTAAAAGGACTTTCTGGGACAAGTGGTGATATTTGAATGGGACACAGAGATTAGAGAGTAGTAACGTGTCAGTGTTAATTTTCTGATTTAAATGACTGCATTATAGCTATTTAGGAGAATGTTCTTACACATAGAAAATAAAGCATTGCCTGGTGGGGACTTACATTGACAACTCAGTATCAAACAGTGGAGAAAAAAACTTCTTTGTAGTACCCTTGTGATTTTTCTAAAATTTTGTTTATTAAAAATAGAAAATATTTATTGCTTTGTAAAAGTGAACTACACTTTTTTTTTTTTGAGATACAGTCTCACTATGTCACCCTCGGTAGAGTGCCATGGAATCACAGCTCACGGCAACCTCAAACTCTTGGGCTTAAGCCATTCTCTTGCCTGAGCCTCCCAAGTAGCTGGGACTACAGGTGCCCAGCTATTTTTTTGTTGCAGTTGTCACTGTTGCTTTAGCTGGCCCAGGCTGGGTTCAAACCTGCCAGCCTGGATGTATGTGGCTGGAGTCCTATCCACTGAGCTACTTTTTTTTTTCTGAGATACAGTCTCAAGCTGTTACCCTGGGTAGAGTGCCATGGCATCATAGCTCACAGCAACCTCCAATTCTTGGCTCAAGCAATCCTCTTGCCTCAGATTTTCTATTTTTGGTAGAGACAAGGTCTCGCTTTTTGCTCATGCTGGTCTTGAACCCGTGAACTCAAGCTATCCACCCGCCTCAGCATCCCAGAGTGCTAGGATTACAGATAGCCACAAGTCACTGTGCCCAGCCTGAACTATACTTTTATTAGAATACCACATTACACAGCAAACCCTCACTCCAGGACAGCCTAAATCCCTTTTGTGCTGTGAAGGAAGAAATGAATCAAATTGCTCATTTAAAGAAGCAAGCAATTGCAAAAGCTAGATGATGAGTACACAGGGTTATTATACTGTTCTCTTCACTTTTATGAGCTAAAATTTCCATACAAATATATATGTATATTTTTTAAACCTGCAATTCTTTAGACACATTAACAGAATGGTAATAGGATTAGCCAAAGTCCCTGTCAGAACATCCTTGCCTACACAGTTTATTACTAGTCCTAGAAATATAAACACTGTAGAGAAATCCTCACCTAGGTACTCTGGGCCAAAGGAACCAGGAATATGATACCCATGATAAATTATGAGGTCATTTCAAATTTTAGAAATCCTTCCTATAAATCTAGAAATATTTTCTAATTCCTGATTGAATAAAAATAGAAAAGAGTTATTTTGCTGCTGTTTTTTAACACCAATGGCACTGAGAAGTAGTCGTGGGTATGCAAGCTCTCCCTATACACACATGCAAACACATACTACTCAAGATGACGTGAGTTTTTAATTTAAACATGACATTCTCCTTTATTATAAAATTATTCCAGATAGAACCCAACTTCTGCTTTTGTTCTGTTTAGAACCACATTAAGTACAAAAGTGAACAGGAGCAGGTGATAATGTGCTCAGCTGCTGAGCTCATAAAAGCACTGTTGGGGGCAGGTATAGTTTCTGAAAATTCTCCTTTTACAAGGGGAAAAATCTAAGCTGAAACATGGCTAAGGGCCAAGAGGCCTGTTTTTTGATGAGTCCTGCTGGGTATCCATTGTTGAGAATCAATTCACCAAACCACTTATGTTTTATTTGTAAGTGAATAAGGGTTTTTCTCTTTTGCATATAATTTATTTCTTATGGTCAGTATATTACTATATATACAGGGGTAAAAGGACAATTCTTGTCCATGGAGTAAGAACCATGTCTAATTCCCTCCTCTTTGTAGTATTTTCTACCACTGCTGATATTTTCAATAACAATGATTAAGTATCCCACTATTTAATTATCCCACAAATAAAACAGACACATAAAAAACCCAGATTATTCAATTTCATGCCACACAAAGAAGACTGTACATTTTGCATTACTTAAGCAAACTTCATGTCCCCTTGAGATGGAAAGGCTTGCTTACCAGGTTCATTTCCTGAGTCAATTCAGAAAGGATTATTACTCCTATTATGCAGTGCTCCACAGTACCCTTTGGAGAAAATAACTAAGTTTAGCCTATGTGGAGATAAGTGATTGGTTCTTAATATGTAAACCAGACAATATTTATAATAATTAAATACTAAAATATCACATTTACTGGAAAATATAACTTTTAAAAATATAAAGAAAAACCACCATGAGCTCTACAGAAGAGAATTTCAAGCTCATTTTTTTGAAGGATAAATCTGGATATACAGTCTAGGAAAAAAGCTCACCAAGTGAAGAAATAATAAACCACCCCTCTTTAACCAAAACTCCTAATTTTTCCTTAAGAATTGTAATAGACCACTGTTTCTTCATCTGGACACCAACCAAAGTAGTTCCTTACAACAGGAATTATGTATGCATGGAAAAAATATATACCTGTAAATATCGGAATCATAGCAAGCAAGGCATGATGGTCATCCTAAGTCAGAAGCATAGAATAACCAACAGCAGATGTAGGGTTCCCTGAATCAGCCCAAAATGATGGAACTGCTAGCACAATGTGTCCTCTTGCTTTTGTTTATGTTCTGTCTTTTTACTGTCCAATGTCTAAATTTGTATAAGTTAAATTATCTGTTTTTGTCACAGACGTACATATTTGATACCTGTATACAATGTGTAATTATCAGATCAAAAACATTCATGAGAAACTGACACTGTGACTATAGTATAACATAAAATTTTTTTTTAAATTATCAGAAGTTAGCAGCTCTATTGCTTTACTAGGTCACTGTGTGACCTTACAGAAATTATCTAACTTTTCTAAGCTTCAGTTTTCTCATTTACACGATGAAATCCATTTCACAGGATTGTAGTAATAAACATTAAATGGTGTAATATATGAACAGCATTTTATATATATATATATGTGTGTGTGTTTTGTATTTAAGTAATACATAGACATATATGTCACAAATGAAAGAACAAACATTTTTTTTAAATTAGAAAACATGATTATTTGCATTCTTCTGGTTTGGAAACTAACAGCATAATCCTCATTTACTGACAACAAATGATAAAAGACCCAGAGGATAAATAATAAATCTAATTAATATGGTACTGATAGACACAAAACAAAAGATACAACTTGAAGAAAATAACAAAAAAAAGGCAAATAGATGTATATTCTAATAATGTAATGATGGCTACTTACCTGGAGAAACTTCTTCACATCAGCAATAATTTCTCTGAAGATGAACTGGTCTTTCTGAACCTCAAACCACCCCAACTTAGTGATTTTGGCAATGACTTGAATGAGAGCTTGAATGACAAAGGGAGCAAGCTTGGGTTGTGACGCCACATAATTCAGAATGTAGTTTCCTATAAAGAAAATATTCTGTGATCATTTGGACTTTTCAGAAAAGTGATGTGAATTATGTCAAGAAAAAGAGGAGGCAATAACATGCTCTTTAACAAAAAGTTACCCTTTCCTCAAGACATATACTTACTTATGCTTGTTTTGAAAAAGCAAATTTGTACCAATGCATTTGGTACATTAAAGAATAATTTGAATATAATAATTTTGTTGAGTATGTCACTTTTGTTTCTGCATGATTTCAACTACAAAAAAATGTTAGGTGAATACAGAAAACTGCAACTCGGCCAAATGAATCAAACTATATGCATGATGGATACATCTCAAACATCTAATATGTATTATCAGCCACAGCTATCCTTATCCTGTGTTACCATTTCCCATCCTATTTCAGATAACCTTCCTTTCACCACTTCATAATAACCCGCAAGCTGCAACACTTCTAAAGCCCACTTCAAACTAACTTCAGGTCTTTTTCAAGATAGAGTGCCACATTTATTGTACTATGCATATATTTCTTAACCATTTAACATGTGCCAAACTCTACTGATCTTTTATCAGATTTCTATCTTTTCAAAAATGTGTCACTGACAAAGTTTCTGAATTTTATTTCCATAATCTCATTTCTCTCATAAGCCTTGTGATTTTTACTGTGAGCATTACATTAGCACTGTCACTTTTGGGAACACATGTTGTATTACAGTAAAATTGACTACGTATTTTTCTGTTTTATCAAGTGGCATAAAAAAATACAAGTATCATAATATGATAAAAACAAGTATGTTAATTAAAGAAAGTGTAAATAGAATAGTAAAGTAAATCTTGGAACAAATCTTGAACCAAAACTATAAACATGAGTAGCAAATTGAGCTCTGAAGCCTCCTAGATGTCAAAGAGGTCAGGTAACAAATATGCCAAAAAGTCTATCAGAAAAATACAAGAAAAAATTTTTAAAAGGAAGGGATTCCATTTCTACTTTGGCTGCAAAGGCCAGCATGCTAGTTGGGAAAAGATTAAAGAAAAGATAAATATCTCAAAACTGAGTTAAAAATAGCTTTGATGGAAATAACATCAAAATGCACAAATACTTTCAACAATTGTTCTTGATATGTGCAGTAAGAGTTCTGATATTTAAAAAAGTTCTCATAATGATCCTATTTCAACCTTAATTTTTATTTATATTAAAATAGTTATATAAATAAAAAATAAGATAAAATAAATGTTTGAAAAAGCACAGATGTCTCCAGCATTAAAATAGAATTGAGAGATTTCTCCTATGTATCACAGTAATCTAGTTCTCCTAAACTTTGTTACATGTCGTCTTTTATTTCAATAACAAAACTTAATATTGTTTCCTGAATATAGAAGAAAATCCAATGCATTTACTTCAATTATACTTGAACAGCAATCTCACACATGAATTACCATTACACAGGCCAAAAATATGAAGGTCAGAGGTAAAATGTCTTGGGACTGAGTCAGGCTGTTTTGGTTTCATTTTGATTTTTTGTTTACTACCAAATACTGGCCAAACCACATATGCTAATAATTATTAAAAATTCAAAACTCTACTAAGTCCAAACTTGTAGAAAATACATCATTTAGGCTTTGCTATCACTGGACTGATACTTTAGGAATCAATACCTTGTGGGAACTTAATCTGAAATATTTGTGGAATTGTCTACTTGAAGTCAGGTCACATATCAGAAAAAAATACAAAAAGAATGTAAAAGAAAGGGGAAAGATTCAGTATCTACTTTGGTCCTGAAAGCTAGCATATCATTACGGAAAAGAGTGGAGAGAAGGTATAAATACCTTACTATTCTATAAAAATACTTTAATGGAAACAACTCTAAATTCTTAGTACACTTAAAAATACAAGCTAAAAATATTCCAAGAACACTTAGAAAAAGATAATCTCCTATGCCTACAGAGCTAGCTTATGAAGTACTGAGAGACAGACAAGCAAAATGAAACAAAAAGGAACTACCACAAGAATATCAAGATAGGACTTATGAGGCAGACATGTAGAGAAATTGGAAACTTCATCCACTGTTGATAAGAATTCAAAATTGTGTAGCCACTTTGGAAAACAGTTTAGCAGATTCTTAAAAAGTTAAGCATAACTTACAACCCAGTAATTCCACTCCTTGGTTTCTACTTAAGAAAAATAAAAACATAGGTCCATCCAAAGACTTGTACATAAATGTTCTCAGTAGCATTGTTTATAGTGACCAAAAGATGAAACAACCCAAATGTCCATTAAGTAGTGAATATATAATAAAATTGTCATCTGTCTACATAAGGGGATGTTATAAAAAGGAATGAAATACTGATACATGCTACAACAGGGATGAAGCTCAAAAACATTCCGCAAGTACTAGTAGTCAGATGAGACAGACTATATATCGTATGATTTTATTTATATGTAATGTCTACAAAGAGTGAATTGACGGAAGAAAAAATATAGAAGCAGGATTATAAATGAACACGAGGGAGTTTCAGGGGTGATAAAAATGTTCTAACAGAATTGTGATAACATTCACATAACACTGCAAATTTACTAAAAACCATTAATTATATACTTGAAACAAGTCAACTTTATGGTATATAAGTTATAATTTAGTAAAGCTATTTGAAAGGAAGGAGGAAGGAAAGGAAGAAGGAACAGAAAGGAAGACTGATTTACTGGCAGCCCTTGGGTTACAAACAAGATAGAATCCGTAGGTTTGCTCTTAAGTTGAATTTATATATAAATTTGTAGCTGGAACATTTACCTATTACCTGCAATAGCCTCCATTCACAAGTGTAAGTTGTACATCAATGTTTTTAATTTGGGGGACATACTATAATAGTCTCTGTTCATGTGAGTTGTACGTAAGTCAGATGTTTATAACTCAAGGACTGCCTGTACTATATATAGTACTAAGTTTAAACTGCACTTTTGTTTGAATAGAAGGCAGAAAGAATACTATTCCAGTCTAGAGAAACAACCTAAGAAAAGGCAGCAAGGCAGAAATAAGATGGCATAGGGGAAGACCTGGCACAACTGACAGACTAGTACCAATGAAGATAGAAGACTACTTAAATAAGGATGATCCTTCAATGACAAGCTCACGAAGAGACTTAATAATATGCTTAAAAAATGGTATTTCACTGATTAACAATGGTAAGCCGTTGTTAATCATACAATACAGGGAGAAAATAGAGGAACTAGCAATAGTTTATGATGGAACATAATGAGTTATGCAGATTGGAACTATATAATGAAAAACTGCGGATTTGGGAGTTGATGTGATAAAGGCAATGTGACTGCTGAGACCATTCTTTGCATTTTCCATTTTAATGCACATGTCAATTATTTTACTGACACATATTGGACATATCAAGTCATAATAAATAATCTCCTTGTAGAAAATTGGTAAATCAAATTAAAGAAACTAATAAAAGAAACATGTCACATCTTGTTAGAAATTGTCTTGCAGGTTTCTACTTCTTTTTCTCCAAATTTCCCTCAGTATTATTTTATAAAGTTTATGAATATATCTATTTTTTTAAGCTTCCATTTAAAAATATATTAATAAGTCAAACAATGTGAATATGCATATATCTATTAGAGAAACTGAATTAATAATCTTACAAAACAGAAAGCACCGTGCCCAAATGGGTTAATTAGTGAATTCTACCAAACATTTAAGGAACAAATTATACCAATTCTCTATAATACCTTCCAAAAGACAGCAGCAGATAGAATTCTTACATCATTCTTTAAGGCCTGCATTACCCAAATACCCAAAGCAGATAAAGATATTAGAAGCAAAGAAAACTACAGACCAATATGTCTCATTAACAAGATGCAAAAATCCTCAACAAAATATTAGCAAATTAAATCTAACACATAAAAAGAATTAAACACCACTGGAGATTTGTCCCACATATGTGAAGCTGGTTTAACATTCAAAAATCAATTAACATAATCCATCACATCAACAGACCAAAGAAGAAAAATCACATGAATGCAGAAAAAGCATTAATAATAAAATTCCACATATATTCATGATAAAAACTCTTAGCAAACTAGGAATGGAGAGGAATGTCCTCAAGTTGATAAAGAAAAATCTACTAAAAACCAAAAGCTGACACCATTATTTAATGGTGAGAAATTTGAAGCTTTTCCAGTAGGATCAAGAACAAGGCAAAATGTCCCCTTCCCACCACTACTTTTCCATATCATACTGGAAATCCTAGCTAATGCAGTAGGACAAGAAAAGGATATAAAATGTATATACTGTAGATTAGGAAGGAAGTAATAAAGCTGTGTTGGCTTAAAGATGACTTGATTGTCTATGCAGAATACTGAAAGAATCAACAACAACAAAATAATCTTGAACTAATAAGTAATTATAGTAAGGCTGTAGGATACAGGTTTAATATACCAAAGTCAACCACTTTTGACATAAAACAAAACACAATATAATTTCTATTTGCATCCAAAAAAAGAAATATTTAGGTATAAATCTATAAAATATGTACAAAACCTTTATAAAAAAATTATTAAACTATTAATAAAAGAAATCAAAAATCTAAATAAATGTATAGATATTCCAAGTTCATGAACAGGAAACTCAATATTGTCAAGATATTACTCTTTTCCAGCTTGACCCAGAAACTCAACACAATTTCAATCAAAATCCCTGTAAGTTATTTAGTAGGTATCAACAAACTGATTCTAAAGGTTACATGGAGAGGACAAAGGCCCAGAGTAGCCAGCACAAAACTGAAGAAGAATAAAGTTGGAAAATTGACACTACCTGACTTTAAAACATACCATAAAGCTATAGTACTTGAGTTTGGTATTCATGAAAGAACTGATTAATCGATTCCTATGGTTTAAATGTTTGCCCCCTCCCATAATCATGTTGAAATTTAAATGCTATAGTAAAAGTATTAACAGGTATGTTGTAGAAGCTTCAAGTAAAGGTGATTAGGCCAGGAGGGCTCCACT